TCATGTCTGACTCAAATTCATCAATGACGTCATAATTATACTCATCTTCCACAATCATATTATGAAGAATGATAAATGTCATCATGATGGATCGAAGTGACTCTAAATCAGATAGTATGGTAGCACATCTGACAATCGCTTAACGAGCTTGGAAGATATCAAAACAATGCTCCACATCCTTCCTACACCCCTCTTGACAGCTTCTGAAGTGTTTTTCCTTTTCACTTCGCGGTCATGGCACTATTTTGACAAACGATGTCCACCTTGGGCAAATGCCATCTGCTAGGTAGTATGCTCAATCGTACTTATGCCCATTGACCCAATACGTGACTTTCGGTGCTCTTCCTTGTAGCACCTCGTCGAACACTGAAGATTGGGCAAGGATATTGAGGTCATTTTGAGCTCCTGGAACACCGAAAAAAGCATGCCAAATCCATCTATCAAATGATGCCACCACCTCCAAAATGATATTTTATGCTCATTTTCTGTCTCTATAAGCTGCTTGCCATGCACTTAGACAATTTTTCTTAGTCCTATGCATACATTCAATTCTTCCAATCATGCCACGAAAACCTCGCATCTTACCCTTCTTCCGAAGCCTTTGCAAGTCCATTGTCGTAGGTCTCCATAGGTACTCTTTGTGTAGATAGATTTGATTGTGAGCAAAACCTCATCAAGAACTCAAGAATGGTTGATTTTCCCATTCCCGATATCTCATCCACTTGGTTTGCAGATACTCCATATGCAAGTATCTACAAGGCAACAATAACTTTTTGCTCAGGAAAGAGAGCCATGACACTAAAAGCATCTTTCTTTTGCACAAAGTAAGAATCATAGTTGCGAACGACAATCATGATTTTGTTGAACAAATGTCACTGCATTCTAAAACAACGTCTAAAGTACGTATCAGGGAATGCACTGTTACAGACAAAATAATCGTCTAAGCAATCCTTACCTCGTTGTTGTCTGCTTTTATCAATGTTTGCGGAATGCATGGGCCTAGAGATCTCAGCCACATCTTGGATGACTCGACGGGAATGTGAGGCTCTTTGGCCTCTTGCTTCATCATCTCTCCTTCTACGCTCCTCATTTGACATGGTTGTCAGAATTAAGGCACAAATAGACTGCTATTTGTGCTACTCTATGACACGAATGCAATATTGTGCCTTATCATCAAAGGGCACATATAATATTTTAGTTGCTACACTGTTGCTATTGATCTATAGGCATATATGTTGGTTTCCTTAGCCTCATAGGACACATTTAATTTTTTATGTGCGTTGGCAATTTTTCTTGTAGTGTGTCCAAAGCAGTCTATAATACTTTGGACATAAAAGTCCCTTACCTTTACCGAAAGCCTTAGGGAAGCTTGATCAACTTGCTGAGTTTTCTTCGATATTTCTTAGATTTGTGCTGTGTATCTGCTAAACGTGGACAAACATGTTGCAAGTGTCAAACATTTTTTGTGTGACCTATCTCATCAGTGTTTTTTTTCTTTCTAGGTTTTGTTTTTAATTCTCAATCCAAAAGATGGAAAGAGCCAAGCGGATGAACTTTTGCTACCGTTTCAAAGATCATATCTTCCCGTACAAATCCATTTCTTGCAAGCGATTAAAGTAAAATAACTTTGTACTTATGCTACAAGTTTTCAAATTTCTTCAGGATGTACAACATTTGTGGCAGGTGCGCTTGTAGTCATTCAAATGAGGCTTGATGAAGTTAATATGATTTTAAAGTATTAATACAAGCACTTAAGAAGGAGAATCAAATTTCATGACAAATTTCTTTACTCATCAAAGATAATGGTACTTGTTGGACCATATCTCCAATTATATGATTAATTACACTTACATGGAAAGAAATATAACCGCTAATAACTTTGCTAATTTATCACATAATTATTAGGGGTGCAACTCAGGCGGTTTGGGCGGATTAAATGGTCAACACAATCCTAACCCAAACTTTCACAATTCGGATTTGAGTTCGGGTTTAAATTGTGTTCGTGCTTACTTGGGTTGGGTTCGGGTTTGGGTTTGCCCAAACAACGTCAATGTATAGTAGACTATTAATTAAAATTCAATTTTACACATCTTCATCCACAGAAAAGTTAAACCAAATAATATGGATACCACTTTTAATGTTTCAACCAAGCGAAGTTGAAGCAAAATTACAAGAGAATACTAAAGTTTCAACCAAACGAAATGTAAAGACAACATTATCATTTATTATACAATCATAAATCAACAACAAAATTTGATTGCAGTCATCCCTTACTTAATGCTTCAACAATATGAAGCGGGGTGGGTAATATATGCATAAGGGAATTCGGGCTAGAAATCAGGTTGGGTTTGGGTTGACATGGGCTAGCAAATAATCAACCCAACCCAACCCAATCTAATAAACGACCAGGATGAGGTCGGGTTGGGCTTGGTGGATTTTTACTTCATTTTAACACGTTTGATCAGGTTTGAAACCGGATTGAACATGGACGGATTCGGGTTGACCCAACCCAAATTGCACCCCTAATAATTATAGTCAGTCTTGCATTTGGTTTGTACATTCTGCTCTCCTAAGGTCCTCTTTTTTAGGACTTATGAGGACCGAATGCATATTAGCCACAAAATTATATGAGTTTTGATCCAAAGGCTTAAAATGTTTGACAACTTAATAAAGCAAAACTAACTTAAAATCCATGAACCATTAGAGAACTCAATTTCTTGTTTTTCTTTATTAATTTGTCAAATATTTTAAGACTTTGAATATAAACTCATATAATCTTGTGACCAATATGCATTTGGTCCTCAGTTTCTCAAAGACATTGAAACAGAAAGACTCAATTGATTTGTAATTTTCATCTGAAAATAGTTCCATCCCTCAATTGGCATGGTAGGATCTTGTTTTACAAGGTTATTTTATCTTTTAAAAAAGTGTGGCGTCATCCCTGTTTTTATAAAGAAAAATGTTATATGCTTAAATACTTCATCGGTAATTATGTTTGTCTATCACTTCGTTACATGGTGAATAATCATCAGTTGAGGGTGTTTTTTTCTGGTTTAGTTTTTCACGGATGGCGTCACCTGGATAAGTTGTGGTTGTATTGTGAATGAGTCATATATATCATCCAAGCTCCGAATCGTTGAACTCAAACTTAACGCAGACTTGTGTGCTCTCTAATATAAAATAGCCTTATTTATCAAGTTGAAATACGACTCAGCACGACAGCACGTAAGAATATGTCCAATGCCAGTATGATGCCACCACCGTCCAAAGTGATGGGATCTTTTTGTTCAGATTACATTATCTCAAGGAGATAATATATCCTATTAAATCGGGGATTCTTATGGCCTCTCAAGTCCAACAATTACGACTAAATGCCAGATGTGAATGTAAAAAAGTGTCATATCAATGAAAGAGAAATTTTACAAGGGTTTATAAGAAATTGTACTATTCGCCATAGTCAATTGGTTTTATGGTGAAACCTCAACTTCTTTATGTTATCAGAGCATGTTGGCTCATGTGTGAAGCCTGATGGCCACATGTGCTCCACGTCATCCAATTCGTGTTGCTCATATGTTTGGCTTGAAATTCACTACACGTGATGGAGCATGTGAAATAAGAAGGTAAAAGAGTGAAAGGAGAAGCCTTGCAATGACTTATAAAGTTAGACTATTCCCTATAAACAATTGGTTTATGATGGAACCTCTACTTCTTCACTAAAAAAATGTTGACCTTGCTCACAAGAAAAGGGGTTTCTGAATAATGCTTCCATTCTCCTTTTGGAGATGAGCTTATTCCTCCATTTCCAAATAACATATCTTGCACGTAAAAATTTCTTATCAGAGCTGTTCAATTTCTTAATCTTCATTTGAAGATCACTCTTACAAAAATTTATATCGAATTGGATATCATTTAGCCATCCAAATGTATCAAATAAACAGTTCATCATTAATAAATTACTTGGTACATGCACCTTTGATTTATTGATACATTTAAATGAATAAACAATCTCCGATTCGAATGATTTTTTGTAAAGATGATCTTCAAATGAAAGTTTAAGCAATTGAATAGTTCCGATTATGAAATTTCTATGGTGAATATACGTTATTTGCAACTGGAAAAATGAGCTCATCTCCAAAAAAGAAAATGCAACTATTATTCACAATATTATTATTATAAGCTACATTAAATGATAGAAATATAGTTTATAAATAAAACGTAATTAGTTGAAAATAAAGGTCCTAACCGCCTGGCAATTCACCACTTGATACCTTCATCCAAACTTTGCTCCACCACATTGGAAGTGCAACGCGTGATTGAATGATGTAGCAATTAGCAACACGTTGATTGGGACGATATGTACCGTGCTTATACTGCATCACCTTCGTTAGTGGCTTCAACACTAGTTGTTATTGTATATCTTCCTTTCTAACTTTATGCTAAAATCCAACCGCAACTAGACTGTATTTAATAAATTTATTTAGAAACCAAATAACTCTGAAGTTAGATTTCTCACTGTGGTCACTCATTTTTGAATTTTTTTAAAGAAAAAAACAGAAACCCACAATAAAATGTTACAACCCCAAGTGACCTTTGCTATATTAACAATTAGGAAGCGTTGACAAGGTGAAGGAACTTGCATAAAAATACTAGACTCAAATTGCAAGATAAACTTCCAGCAACAAAACTCATTTTTCGGTATATACACATGTCAAATTTCATAAGATCACCAAAATTTTAAATTTTAATATCTATTTATTCACCATCTGTGCATTCCTTGATCATTAAGTGACCAATAAAACATTAATTTATGTTAACTTCAAATCTCTTCATTTGAACTTTTATTAAAAAAAAAAAAAAGGATAAATTTTCTTTGGAAATAAGTAAAGACCAACGAAAATAATTGATAACTAAAGAATTGTTAGAACTATCATGCATTTAGTTTTGCAGTCCTCTTCTCATGGATCCAAATGATGAACACATTGACGGTTCCGATACCGATGAACACATTACGTACCCAATAATATACATCTCTCATTTCACGGTGTTTTACATAGAAATACTGGTTCAAATCTGCATAACTAAAATCTTATATAACAACCCCCATTCGACAATCAACTAGCTAAAACACTTGAAATTAAAAAGGATATTAAGATCAATATGATACATTTGACTTTGATATAATTTAATAATGCAAGATAATTATAGAAGCCACCCCTTCTAATTTGTTCTCCTAGAAACAGCATAGCTCCTACTTCTCGGATACACATCTCTCTTGAACTGGACTTCTTCTTCAAATTCACACGCCTTGTCTTCGTCGATCCTTCCGATTCCAACACTTCGACTGCGAGACATAGCGTTGGGCACTCCAGCCACCGGAGGCTGCCTAGGAAGCTGCGCTTTTCGAGCAAGATCAAATTCAATTTTATTCCTTAAGCTCCTAGCAGAAGCAGCCCTCGTAAGCTCTCTGTAATCTTCGTTATCGGCAGTGCTTGATCTGGTAGAGCTTGTGCTGAAGCTTCTAGGCAAAGTACTTGGGACCTGTGCACCAGGGCATCCCATGGCCGTGCCGTAATCGAATTGACCGGAGCACTCGGTCATGCTCATGATGTAGAAATCCCTGGCCTTGATTAAAACCCTTAGGGGGGCCTTCATGAACTTTGTGAGTCTGCTTTCTTTGCTAGGTTTCTTCATGTTTTCCATGGTCGAGCATGGAACTGTAGCTAGTCTTGGAAATTCGTAGACCGAATAGTTTTGGCTTTTGTGATCTCTCTCCCACGCTAGAAACAGGTACGTACCTATATCTCAAGGAAAAGTGGGATAGCGAGCAAGAATATATATAGAATTGTGGAGATCCTATATTATTAGCTGTTATTGGTACACCAATGTCTTAAATCCCACCCACTTTAGGATGAAAATGTGATTTACAAATTTATCCTTATGCAGAATGACTTGTAAAGATCTGATCATTAGTACTACGGTCTAGTAATATTCTTAAAAGTTCTTAAGTTCGACTCTCAACATGTTATTATTACTAGCTTAGTGTGAAGCTTAACCATCTCCCTCACTCCCACCCCACCTCCTTAGCTAGATTATATCGTTTGTTAAAAAAAAAAAAAAAATCAGCCAATCAAATTTCACCACATAATATTTGTTATGGTTGACCAAAAAAAAAAAAAAAAAAGAACAATTAAAATCGCAACCCAGCCTTGGTGGTAAAGTGCCATATAGTATTGATCCTCAATTCCTCATGACTTTGGGTTCGAAGGCTGGTAAAGACCAATCAGAATGCCCTCCCCCATGTAAACCCCATCAAGTCCACACCCACCGCACGTTCTCGGTCCTCCCCCACAGCGGCGTCGACGTCAGCTCGCCATGGGTTGCCAATCGCCATGTCCGCCAACGTCTACTCTCTTTCTCATGGTGGTGCGGTTGTGATTTTGGGGGACGGTTTTGAGGCTAGGTTTTTACCGTTTGGGGGGATGTTGGTCCCCAAGAACAAATAATTTGTTTATTTTTTTTACTTATTTATATATATTTTATTTTTATATAGTAAAGGAAAGTTAAAAGAATTAAAAAATGTGGAGGTCATTTTGGGAACAAGACATCGTTTGATACGTAGAATTGATTTAGCTTGGACTGGATACAGGGATTGGTTTGGCTTGGCTGGGATTGATTCAAGTTAGGCCCCTCACTATAAATGGTGTAAACCTAGTAAGAAAGGTATAATCTCAACTTAATTATCCAGTGCCCTGATACCGCATACGATCTTTATTGTTATTGTTCTTTGGTAGCTTTTGCCCTGATACATGCCCAAGGAAAAAGCCTAGAGAAGCTGTTTGTCAAGTTGGTGCGGCGGCGGCGCCCCCGGGGGGGGGAGCAAGAGAGAATGGCGGTCGATGGGGATGGGGTTGGGTTTGTATGGTGAGTATTTTTTTCCTATCTTTATCCTTTTAATTTTTGTGGAGGGTGTTGTATTAGTAATTAGGCTAAAATTAGAACTTAAGAGTGTTAAAGTTTGTTTTTTGGGGTAAACTTGAAAGGGTGTGGAAGTTAAACAAACAAACTCAATAATAAACCGGGACAACTAACACAATAAGGTGGATTGAGATTTTTGATGTTGGGTGTAATTTCAGCTTGTGCAGTCAAGGATTGTTTGATGTCGCCTTTAGGCTCGTGCGAGCCAGGAGCATTTGATGTTGTGTTCAGTTTTAGCTTGTGCAGGCAAGGAGCACTTGGTGCCTTGTGTAGTTTCAGCTCGTGCATGTAGCAAATGTTTGACGTTGCCTTTCAAGCTTGTGCAAGCGGAGAGCATTTGGCGCCGAGAACACTTGGCATGAATCAACTTTTGAACCATATTATTACTAGCCCTTAAGTCCACTCATCCTTCTTAGTGTAGCTAATATTGTTAAAAAAAAGTAATTAATCAAGCAAATTATCTTTAATTTATTTGATTTAATTCAAAGTAATCAAAGAAAAAACTCCTTAATTATTTTTTCAACCATAGTTTAATTTGGTAATTATTTTGCTTCTGCCAGATATTGACATGTGTCGCTCTCAATGACTTGTCGGTGACTCGTCCAACTTTGATGAGTCACATGTTATGCCGTGTGTACAATTTGAAAGACCCACTGTGTGCGCCACATAAGCCTTGGCAAGTCATATTGGTGAACATTTGTTTTATTGAAATTTCGATGTCTATAGGCTGAACTACGTTCATTATAAAGACACTCATCTCCTTTGAGTATCTTTCTCTCTACTGCCTGATACCGATTCGGCGTACTTATATTCTTATGAATATAGCTGAAGCGGCTGAAACTCATGCACAAGATCCTTAACTTCACAGTGAATTAAGCAACAATGTCTTCAAGTTCTAGAACCCGAGGCTGAGAGGTGTTCCTTCCTCGACCATAGTCGTTTAAGTACAAAAGTTAGCAGCTCATTCAATATCACCACCACCCCATCTATTCTACTTGCTCGACTGAATTCGATCACGAGTTGGCACACCTGTATTCACAAGAAGTATACATGTAGCTTAATTGTTACTCGACCTGCACGCTCATGTAAGTTTTTTAATTTTTAGAATCAACAAATTCACACACAAATCATGTGAGAAAGATCTAAATATAAGGTGGTGTTATCTACACATATTAACATTTTTCCAAGAGAGAAAGTGACGGCAGGACGGCAGGGCGGCAGGACTGAACAAATTGGAATGATCGTGGACTTTCTCAAATTGAAGCCATACACGAAATAGTACTTGATTTAATTAATAGATACCTTAAAATAATATTAAAAACAGAACATTACGAAAAAATAATAATAACTTGAAGCATCATACCTGGAGAATAAGGTTGGTTGAGTTTTCTATGCTTACAACAACATACCCGCAACAAACTACCTTACCAACGTTAAAATTCCATTGGGTATTCATAAATAAAAACCCTTATGATTATACTTGCACAATCTATATAATAAGCAATTTGTTATCTCAATTTTTATTAATTGATTTAACAGTCTGTACAAACACTACAAATTTTAAACGGCATGCCACCCCCATTTTCTAATCACAAATCTCAAATTAATTTAAATTTGAGATTTGTACAGTGAATAAGTACAAATTTTAAAATTTAAATTTATTCAACGATGATAAGTAGTGTGGTGAGCAATACCACCACTTGAGGGGGTGAGCAAAAATGCACTCATTTACACTTATACCTTCCGAATCTCAATCTTCGTCTCACTTTGCTCTTTGAAAATTTAAATATCTCACTTAACCCCCTAAGTGTCTACTGCATATGTCTCACTTAACCCCTAAACCCAGTACTCCACATGTCATAATACAAGTGGAGAAAATGATATATTTATAGTATCTCGACATTGATTTTATAACATGTACAGTAAATACTTAAATACAAAACACTTTGAAAAATTTCTCTATTACTTGATGTTATTTTTCTTTTAATACCGATGATGAATTTTGGACACTTGATTTATGGCATGAATATATTGTTATATTAATTAGAGTAAACTGTCGATTTGCCCCCTAAACTTTCACCTAACTTTCGATTTTCCCCCTAAACTTTTCGATTGGAAAATTAAGGACCTAAACTAATTTTTTTAGCCAATTTGCCCCCTACCGTTAGTTTTTCAAACATTCCATCCAAATTTCTGTTAAGTGAGACCATGTGTACAACATGTGAGGGTAGTTAAATCATTTCACTTTTAAAAATGATTAAAAAACTAAAAATAATTTTTTTTTAAAAAAAACTTTCCCTCTATTTTTTCCCTCTAATTCTTATCCTAAATTTTATTCACTCATTCCTATGCATGAGAAATGACATATGGTATTATTGTCTTCAAAAGTATCTAAGTTAGTCTTTTTCTTGAAGCATGTACTGCCATTTTTATTTTCTCTAACAAATTAATAATTTGACAAATGCTCATGGTGTTAAATGTGCAAGAATGCAGTTGAAATATCCAACATTTGATTCTAAGTTGAGTTGTGCACTTTCTTCTCTTTTATAATTAATTTATTAGTTGAAAACATTGTACTTTGAGGAGGCAAGTAAAGCTTTGTGGAACTGCGTGGGTATGATATGCTTTTTTTTTATGATTTGTCAAATTATTAATTTGTTAGAGAAAATAAAAATGGCAGTACATGCTTCAAGAAAAAGACTAACTTAGATACTTTTGAAGACAATAACACCATATGTCATTTCTCATGCATAGGAATGAGTGAAAAATAAAATTTAGGAAAGGAATTAGAGGGAAAAAATAGAGGGAAAATTGTTTTTTTTAAAAATTATTTTCAGTTTTTTAATCATTTTTAAGAGAAATGATTTAATTACCCTCACATGTTGTGCACATGGTCTTACTTAACAGAAATTTGGATGGAATGTTTGAAAAACTAACGGTACGGGGTAAATTGGCTAAAAAAATTAGTTTGGGTCCTTAATTTTCCAATCGAAAAGTTCAGGGGGGAAATCGAAAGTTAGGTGAAAGTTTAGGGGGCAAATCGACAGTTTACGCTATTAATTAATTCATTGAGTAGTGCTAAGTAAACTAATTATTTAGATCACATTTGATATAACGTGTCACTAATAAGAAAATAAATAAATTAATCAACATTTGAATAATAATTTAAACATTAACAACTATGTCTTATAATTTATTAAATATTAGTTAAATAATGGTCTCTGTAACATTTGGGAAATCATCTTGAAGACCTCAATTTAGTTTTGATACAACCCTCAAAATCTCAGCCGACAGTGACACGACTTCACTGGATATGATACGTGGCATACCTTAGATTTATATTTCTTGGGATGACTCGGCCGAGGCCGGGAGGATGTGATTCAAAAAAGTACGTTTTTTTAAATCAACTTGTGTGAATTAAAGTCTTCAATTGCAAAGATAGACAATTGTTATAAAATCTTAACCCAAAAAAAAAAAAAAAAAAAAAAAAGAAAGAAAAAACAAGAAACGCAAGAAAGAAGCCTGAGTCGCCATGTATCCATGTCTGACAAATGGATCAGCAGGTCATGATAGTGCATGCCACGTTTGTTTTCAACTTTTAAAAATGGAAAATTGACAAAAAGTTGCTTTTATTAAGAATTTTTTATCATGAATGAATGGTCTGTAAAAGGGATATGATATCCACACATCTTTTTTTAATTCTCTTACATATTTTTAATTTTCGACCATCGGATCAGATAAATTGAAGAAGATCAAAAGACAAAAATTAACAAGGGGTATGAGAGAAGTAAAAGGGATGTGTGGATAGCACATCCCTGTAAAATTGACCAACTCGTTATTTTAATTCATTTAAATTCTGAATTAATTAAT